ACGTCGGCAAAATTTTCTATCCGCCATGATGGGTGGCAAAAAGAAGAAAACAAATAAAAAAACGTCGAAGATCTTAGACATTTTTTTGACATTACAGCTCGAGTTGTTGCGTACCAAACTGCGAAAACAAAAAATTAAAATGCAGTAAATAATATTTTATTAAGTTTTCAAAAAAAAAGAAGAGCAATGGACGTTATGACAAGCGGTTTTAAAAAAAGACTTTAATTTAGCCGAACTGTGAACTTTACACATAAACACAGTATTAATAAAAACCATGCTGACTTTTTTTCCTCGATTAAACACCTTTATATAAAAAGTAAAAGAAATTTATTGTATATAATACATCAAATCGTTTGAACAAGAGATCTACCAAAAGTGCTCATTGAAGAAAATAATATAAACAGCTGATTAAAAGAATTTTTTTAAATTGTCAAAGAATCTGAGAAAACTGCCAAAATTATAAGAGCTAAACAATGAAATCAAGAAATTAAAAAATGTAGTTTAAAACTTAATGAATACAGCAAAGTTCAATTTAAAACTAAATGAAGACAGCTTAATTCAGTTTATAACTTTATAAAAACATCAAGGTTCAGTTTAAAACTTCATGATGACAGCAAACACTGCACTTCAACACGTAACGAAGACAGCACAGTTCAGTTTAAAATGAAATCAAGAAAACGACGTTCAGTTTAAAACTTAATGAAGATAGCAAAGTTCAGTTTACAACTTAGTTGTAACATGTAAATTTACAGCTGTTCAAAACTTAATGAAGACAGCAAAGCAGCAATTGATGAAAGGGGAAAAATCGCATTTTTTTTTTTCAAAAATTAACTATCAATAAAAACAAAGGTTTAATAATCAGAAGGGACATATAAAATTTTAAAAGACACATTTTTATATGCCTTTCTATTGACAATATTTGAATTATTTTATTATGCATATAAGAGCTATGACAGGCTCTTAAATAACACAACTTTAAAATAATGTTTAAGTCAAAGGATTAGGAATAATATTTATTTACTTATGGGGTTGCTTTGAATATTTTTTGCAGTAAAAGCAAAATATTTTAATTGGTTTTAATATTTGATAAAAACAACATTCTAGGTTTACATAAACTTAGTATTACTAAAAAAATAAAATATAATTTCATACCGAGCCCTGAAAAGTTTTTTTAGTATTCGAAATGTTCTATACAAAGTATTCTGGCTAACCTAAGATTTTATTTTTATAAGTGCTGAAATTATTTAAATTCATCTTTAGTGATGTCTTTATTTAAAAATATTTATATGTTATTTTTAAATTTGAAAATATTTTATTCAAAAGTTGTATAAGTTCATGACTTTAACTGTTCTTGTTCTTTTTTGTAAAAGTTTCTCACTTTATCTGAATTAGACTCTATATTGTGAACATTGTTCAGAGGTGTACATATGGTGGAAGATCCAGGATCATTAGACAACGAAAATTACTAGAAGTACTTTATTAGTCTTATTATTGTTATTTTTAAGATATAAGAGTTAAGGCCATCTAGTAAATTTTCAATTATCCACCCTGTGCATCATAAAGACTCTGTGTGCCCCTGACCTTGTTATTATTATTTTTATTGTTATTTTTATAATGTTAATAACATCTTCTTTTTTTTAATAAATATTGTGTTTATTATTTTAAATTTGTTTAAGTATATCCTTAAATGTAAGAATTATAATCTAAAATATATTATTGATTGATTTTCAGATACTCAAAATTACTGTAATATAGTTTTGCATGTAATAAGATGCCGCTCTTGCATGAGAAAAGACTGAATTGGATTTATAATTTCTCAAGTTTCTTGAAAGCTAATCCATCAATTCATTAGGGTTTTAGAAAAAGTACTCTGACCTGTACGACCAGTTACTGTATATATAGACCAAAGACCTTGTTTTAACTTGTTTGTTATCTTGATTAAAAATAAGTTTAAAAGGAATGCTATGAACCAGACAACAGGTTACAAAGTTGTAAGATTTAAGACGTTTGTAGAATTTAAAACTAGAGTTTGTAAACTGATTTAAAAAAATAACTTATTAGATAAAATACATCAGTAAAGTGAGATTGGGCCATTTGCCTATAAGAATTAATTAATTGTACAGTCTTTTGATAATTAATACGGGTCTAAATTAATCTAGAACTGCTAATTTTTATTATAATATCCTATAATACTTATAAATAAAGACTTTTATAATTCGGATATGGCATAGTTTGCTAAGAAAGCTACAACCTAATCATTTTTTACGGATCTATTTTAGCCGACTTTAGTTTGTTTATAGTTTTTTGCCACCCATCATGGCGGATATAAAATTTTGCGGACGTTTGGCGCTCAGATGAATATCATGAATAGTGCGCATAGTTACGCATTGTTACGCCTATTGTTCGTTTTGTTAATTACGGTTCTGCATTATGTAAAATACACTATTTCTTTGCCTCTAGAATTTTCTAAGCGCAGTTATATATTCCATGCGGTCATTCGAGTAAAATCAGCAATCAAATTGGAGCTGATACATTTATTTTCAAGAAGAATTAATGTTGTTTATTTTTTTAAATAAAAATTTAAATAATTGTTAGTTTGCTATGTATATATATATATATATATATATATATATATATATATATATATATATATATATATATATATATATATATATATATGTATATCTATATGTATTTTCTCTTAGCAAAAATAATTGAGAATAGAAAAATAAAAAAAATTTCTTCTGGAATTTGTCAAAAGGGTGTTGTGTTATTCTTCATTTTAAGGTATCTAAATATGTATTTATTTTTCATTTTTTAGAATAAGTTAGAACTAATTTGACTGGTAAAATAGTTTTTTTAGTACAATGTTTCTTTTTTAAGAAAACAGTTTTGTCGTTAGTCTTTTTAAAACATTTTAAGCAGTATTTGTTTTATTTTTTAGAGCAGTTAAGAGAAGCTGATCGCTTTTTTAGTAAGTTCAAGTTATTTTCTTATACATAAATTAAGGTTTTCAATTTATTTCAGTCTATTTTATATTTCTCTATATCTACATATATATATTCTCTGAGGAAAAATAATTAGGAATAAAAAAATTAAGAAAATTTCTTCTGGAATTTGTCAAAAGAGTGTTGTGTTATGCTTCATTTTAAGGTATCTAAATATGTATTTATTAGAAATTTTTTTAAACCAAGTTTAAAAAAGTTGTTAAACCAAGGAAATTGTAGAGGTTTATTTATCAATATATACTATAAATTATATAATAATATTGGAGGGAGTAAGTTAAAAAGCATTTTTAAATTTTTAAAAAGAAATAAAAATACTTTTCAATATATATCTGTTTTTTTTGAGGTAGATTTAAAGTTTCAGGTTTTCAAAATTGTAGATCTTTTTAATGTATAAATAGAAATTAAGTATTTCTAAGTAGACATTACGTATATATAAAATCTTTTAAAATTTAATAAGTAATTATTTGTTTAAATAAGTAGTTAATTGTTATAATTTATTAAGATTTAAATTATAAGAAAATTCATGTTTACAGAGTTGTTATTAATCATTATCGAGTTGTTGAACCAAAGAAATCGTAGAGGTTTATTTATCAAATATATACTATATATATTGTAAAAAAAATTTTGGTTTTCGTATGTTTTCACTAATAAATAGTTCTGTATATATATATATATATATATATATATATATATATATATATATATATATATATATATATATATATATATATATATATATATATATATATATATATATATATATATATATATATATATATATATATATACATATATATATATATAAATATATATATATATATATATATATATATATATATATATATATATATATATAACTATATATAACTATATATAACTATATATAACTATACATAACTATATATATCCTTGGAGTTGCGACAGCATAATAGTGTGTTGGGAGAAAAAAATTTATAAACCTGCGTTAATAACCTGTTTTCTATCGTACGTAATGCATTAATAATGCATTAATAAGTTTTATTACGTGTTTTGTTCAATGTTTTCTCCCAACGCATGAACTATGACGCTGTCGCAATTTTTTTTTTTTTTTTTTTAGAAATAAAATAAGTTTTTTTAAGTTTTTGCTGATGTGGTTGCAGGTTTTTCTTAACTTCTATCAAATAAACTTAAGAAACCTGTATTACTTTTGATGAGGGCAAATTAATTTTATTTTGCATTTGTTTGGTTTCTTTATATATATTTGTTTTGAAAATTTTTTTTTTAATTTTTCGAGTATGATTTTTTTAGTTAATAAGTTTTTTTATTTTATTGTTAACTTTAGATTAGTAAAAAAAAAAGAAATAATTAGTGTTGTTTTGATAAATATGTTTAATGAAAATGATGACATTTAAATGGATGATAGGCTAGATGAAGTTTTGTATTTACAAGATGATGTAAGTGCTATAAGGCGTGTTGAAAATAATCGTAGATGAAATGAAAGAAATAGACTTAGGCGAGATGAAATTAATTGTTTACAAAATGAAAGAAATAGACTTAGGCGAGATGAAATTAATTGTTTACAGAATGAAAGAAATAGGCTCGATCGAGATAATGTTAATCGTTGCCAAAATGAAAGAAATAGGCTCGATCAAGATAATGTTAATCGTCGCCAAAATGAAAGAAGAGCTGTTGGACAAGGACGAATGTATTCTATAGCAAGATGTAATGCTATTCCAGATTATAATTATTTAGGAAAAATGAATCAAAATTTGTCAGCACTGTGGTGCTAAGAAATTTCCAGATGAAACACATTTTCTATGTTGCCATAATGGTAAGGTAGCTTTGCCTCCACTTTCACCAATTACACAAGCTTTACAGGATTTGTTTACAGGGAGTTATGTAGATTGTAATGCTAATGCTAATTTTTTAAAACATATTCGAAATTATAATGCCTGCCTTTCTTTTGCTTCTTTTACAGCAAATGTAGTTCAACCAATGAATCATGGGCTTCCATGTTTTAAAATATGTGGCCAGATTTTTCATCGTGTAGGTAATCTTAGGCCAGATCAAGATATTCCACCAATATATTCTCAACTATATATTTATGATCCACTTGCTGCACTAAATTTTAGAATGCAACACTATGCTAATGATCTTTGTTTACGCGATTTAATGTTTCAATTGCAAACTATAATTATGGAACAAAGTCCATTTGCTCTTGCATTTAAAAACATGGCTGAAGTAGAAGATGAAGAAATTCGTAAGGCGGCTATAGAAGGTCGCTCAGCTTCTGTTGTAAAAATGTCTTTACTTGAAGGCGGTGATAGACGTAGTTATAATCTACCTTCACATGATGAAGCTGCAGTTGTATTTGTTGGCGAAGATGGTGCTCCCCCAACTTCCAGGGAAGTTGTTATTTACCCAAGAGGTCATCCTTTAAAAATTGTATCAAGTATGTCAGCCAACTTGGATCCTATGGTTTATCCGCTATTTTTTCCAAGAGGTGATGCTGGTTGGCATAATCAATTGGTGCATAACCCTGAGCGTGCCACACTGGTTAGAAATCATGTTACATTATCTCAGTTCTACAATTATAGACTTTCTGTTAGGCAAATTTTCTGTTCATTATTTTATGGCAAGAAACTATTTCAGCAATATGCTGTAGATGCATATGTAAAAATTGAAGGCCAGCGTCTTGCTTTTATCAGAAATAATCAAAATAAGCTGAGAAGCGAGCAGTACGATGCCTTACATGAACATATTAACAACATTGCCAATGATCGTAATATTAGACCAGGACGAGTAGTAGTTTTGCCATCATCTTATGTAGGAAGTCCTAGAGCTTTAAAAGAAAACTTTGAAGATGCTATGGCAATTATTAAAAAGTATGGTAAACCAGATCTTTTTATAACTTTTACTTGCAACCCAAAATGGCGTGAAATAACAGAAAATTTATATCCGGGTCAGAATGCGAATGATAGACCTGATTTGGTTACTCGAGTATTTAAACTCAAGTTAAATAACCTCCTCAATGATATATTCAAACATGGTGTATTAGGCAAAGTTGTAACGCATGTTCAGGTAATTGAGTTTCAAAAGCGTGGTTTGCCACATGCCCACATTTTACTTCATTTAGCAAATGATGATAAACTTGAAATATCACAGGATATCGATAATTTGATTTGTGCAGAAATTCCAGATCCGATACTTAATTGTGAACTTTATGATATTATCAAAACTTGCATGATTCACGGCCCATGTGGGATACTGAATCCAAATTCTCCCTGCATAAAAGATGGGGTGTGCAGCAAAAATTATCCTAAAGATTTTAATGCTAACACAGTAGCTGTTCACAATGGTTATCCGCGCTATAGGCGTTATGATAATGGGTTGGTTATCAATATTAAAGGCAACAATGTAGATAACCGTTGGGTGGTACCTTATAATCTTTGGTTATCAAAGAAATATCAAGCCCACATTAATGTTGAAGCTTGCATGTCTGTAAAGGCTGTTAAATATTTGTATAAATACATATACAAAGGGCATGATTGTGCGAATGTTTTGATAAATGAACAGGTTAATAACGATGAAATAAACACTTTCTTAGATTGTCGTTATGTTAGTGAACCTGAGGCACTGTGGCGAATATTTGAGTATCCCATAAGTCATATGTCACACTCTATTATCCGTCTTAAGGTTCATCTTCCTGAGAATCAGATTGTGTATTTTAGAGAAGGAGAAGAACAAGTGGCGTTAGATCGTGCTGCTCAATGTGATACACACCTTACGGCCTGGTTTAAATTGAATTCTGAAAATGAAGGAGCCAATCGCTATTCATATGTTGACATTCCATATCACTTTGCATTTGATGATAAACATTGTAAATGGAAGGTTAGACAAAGAGGTGGAAATAAGGTGATAGTAAGAATGTATAAAGTTAGTCCAACAGGAGAATTATTTTTTCTTAGATTGTTACTTTTACAAGCAAAAGGAGCAAAATCTTGGGAGGATTTGCGTACTGTTAATGGAATAGTTCTTGAAACCTTTCGTGAAGCGTGTGTTTGTAATGGTTTGTTGCAAGATGACACTGAATGGCAGAATACTCTTTCTGAGGCAGTTTTAACGCGAATGCCTAAGCAAATCAGGCAGCTGTTTTCAATTATTTTAACCTTTTGTGAACCTGATGACCCTTTGCATCTTTGCAATTCATACAAAGCTTTTATGTTGGAGGATTTCATTCATCGCCAAGTTCCATTTATATTAGCTGAACAAGCTACTCTTCTTCAAATCGAAAAGATTATTAATCAAAGTGGTAAAACGCTATCTGATTATAATTTGCCTGTTGTTGATGAATTCATAGATTTTAATCTAGAAAATTTAAATGATAATGTTCAGCAATCAATTGACGAAGCTAATAGAATGAGACCGCTCCTTAATGTCAATCAATTAAATGTAAGTAATGCTGTCCTTGCTGCATTGAACGAGCAACCATGTGTAGAAAATCAACATTCCAGATTGTTTTTTATGGATGGACCAGCCGGTAGTGGCAAAACTTTTACATATAATTGTTAAATCTGCTACAGCTGCATGGACTGGCATAGCAGCAACTCTTCTTACAAACGGATCTACGCTGCACGGGTTATTTAAACTTCCTGTCCAATACTGGATAACAGCACATGTAATGTGACTCCTAACTCTATTCAGGGACAATTTTTAAGGCAAGTTAGTTTGTTTATGCTTGACGAGACATCCATGATTCCCAAACACGCTTTAAATGCAATCGATCGGTTGTTAAAAGATGTTTGCAACAACAACTTTCCATTTGGAAGAAAAGTCATTCTTTTTGGTGGTGACTTTAGGCAAATTTTGCCTGTTGTGAAAAGAGGGAGACCAGCTGAAGTTGTAGAATCATGTATAAAATGTTCTTTACAGTGGCAATGGGTGCAGAAGTTTACATTAACTCAAAATATGAGAGTACGTGATGGAGAAGGAGATTTTTCCGAATGGCTGTTAAAACTTGGTAGAGGAACAATACCTGGCAAGGAGGAAGATCCTTTTAAGGGATGTATTGAAATACCGCAACAGTGCATTATTAGAGAAAAGGAATCAATTGTTGAAAAAATATTTGGAGATGCTTAACAAGATGATTATGCTAAACGTGTCATTTTAACACCCACTAATGTGGATTTATTGTCAATCAATGAAGAAGTGCTTGAACGTCTACATTGAGAGGTCAAAACTTATTTAAGTGCTGATCAAATAGACACTGACGATCTTAATGAAAAAAATAATTTCCCTGTTGAGTTTTTGAACAGCCTAACTCCTTCAGGTATGCCTACTCATTGTTTAAAATTGAAAATTGGTTGTGTAATTATGCTACTTAGAAATTTAGATCTTAAAGCTGGGCTATGTAATGGAACCCAAATGAAAGTTTGTGCTCTCCAAAACAATTATATTGATGCAGAGGTTTTGACAGGTGTTTCTGAAGGTAAACGGGTATTTGTTCCTCGAATTCAGTTGGCTCCATCAGATTCTAATTTACCTTTTGTTCTAAAACGTCGTCAGTTTCCTGTCAGATTAGCTTATTCGATGACAATTAATAAAAGTCAAGGTCAAACATTTGATAGAGTTGGGGTATATCTAAAAAAACCGTGTTTCTCCCATGGTCAACTATACGTTGCATGTTCAAGAACTAGAGCATTTAATAGTTTGTTTTTCAAAATTGATAAACATCCTATTCAAGGTATGGTAGGTGAAAAATACTACACAAATAATGTTATATTTTCTAATGTTCTTAATTTATAGTCTTAATATTTTCATTTCTAAAATTTACTGTTTGTAGGTTGTGAGCACATTTTGTATGTGTAACTTTAATATTTTTATTTTTTTCATAGTTTTTGATAAATATATTTGTCATTTAATATTGTTATATATTGTGTTTATATGTGTTATATGAAGTCATATTTGTTTATAGTTGTATACATGTTTACATTATGTTGTTTCCATGTTTTCAAAGTGGTGTGACTTGGCAAAATGTTAAGCAAGATTGTTAACCTTGCCAGCCAAGCGGTGTACTTATAGCAGAGGTGTGACTTGGCACCATTTTGTGCCAGGTGGTGTTACTGCTTTAGAGCTAGGTTGTGTTGTCTAGCTTTTTTTAATTATTCTGGAAACACATAATGTCTGGTAATGTTTTGTGTAATGTGTATAAAAGAGTATGCAACCTTGATCCTTAAATTTAAAAATAATTGAATAACTAATATTGAATATAAAAGCAAATATACTATATTAAAGTTTAGTAAAAGGATAAATGTAGATAACTCAAAATTGGTTTTTTAGTTTTGCCTTTCATATTCTTTTAAAATTGGTTTGTTATTTTCCACTGGATTTTAGAGTCAAGGGTGTAAATATTAGTTATATAGGTGTGAATATGTGTTAATGTTATGTGTTATTTTATAATGTTGTAATGTATTGTTATAATGTATAATATTGTTATATTGTTGTGATGTTTTGTGTTGATAGACAGCTTGGCTTACCTTCCCGTTGGTGTCTATCGTTAAAAATGAATAATAGATAGTTTCATTATTGGAACTTGCTGCTTTTATTCATTTACTAAAAGCCAAGACAAAATCTTGCTAAAAATTTAATTTATGTCTTTAGTTGATTTTTTTTTCCTTTAGTATTGTTAATTCTTTAGTACTTCGAAAAAGATTTTATAGCTACTTTTTTCTATAAATGTTTATATTAATTGCAATATCAAAAGGTTACAAAAACAGGTAAATCGGTTTTCAGTGCTTATATGTGGTTTGTATATATATATATATATATATATATATATATATATATATATATATATATATATATAAACATATATATAATTCCGTTCCTTTTGTTATAATTCCGTTCCTTTTTTTTATTTTAGATTTTACCATATGACGTATTAATACAATATTAAAAAAAAAAACTTGATTTCCTAAATTTGTAAAATTTTGTTCGTTTGTTAAAAAGATATAAAGACATTAATATATATATATTTTTTTCCGATGTTTTCCCTATCTTATGCTTTAATAATTCGTTGTTAAAAACACAGGGAGACTTGCAGTTTGTCAAATATTAAGTTGATTAGTTTAGTCTGCAATTGCAACACTTTTGAGGAAAGAAAAAATTCTTATATATGTAAATCGTTGTTTTACGCTTTATTATTGTGGTAAAAGGTCTTTATCATAAATAGATTACTCTTAATAAAAAAAACTCTACCCACATGGTTACCATTAAAATAAAAAAAGGGGAGGGTCTCTTAATTAGCGGAGATGTCAAAATATTGACGAAACCGAAACTTCGAGTAATCAAAGGAATATTTAGTAAATGGCAGCAAATTACTTTACGGTTTGCAAAAAATTATTGAAATAAAAAGACCATTTATTCAATATAGAAATAATCAGAGTTTAGAAGGCTTAACATGACCGGGTCCGGTTAGCTTTGTTTGTAAACCTGAGATTATGTCACGTTAACAACCTCAAAAGTCAATTTAAAACATGTTTAGTAGCAGAATGTGATATATACAAGTATAAATGTGATAGTATAGTAATACTCTTTTATGATTTTTTAGCTAATAAAATGGATTTAAGACAAGATTGATTTTTGTTTCCTGTTAAACCGCAGTAAATAAAAATTAGAAGGCTATTTGGCCCCGACAGAATATGCGACAAGTTTGTATTAAACTCATTTACACAAAAATGGAATTAAAACAAGTTAGCTCCTAAAATTATTATATGTACAGATATGTTTATTGCACTTATTAGTAAATAAACTGATTAGTTGCGTAATGAGTTTAAATTTTAGCCATTTTTTAAAGTTGATAATCATAACGTACTTAATTAAACATGCGTGATGTAATTTGCATAGCTAAATTAAATGCTCTTTGCGCTTAGTGTTGCGCAGTTTGGTTTGTGCGCAGTTTTTCTTCTGTTCTGTAATTTTGAGATTAGAATTTCCAGACTTATTTTAAAAAGCGCGTTTTCGTTTTAATTTTTTTTTACATCTAATCGTACCTATCAAGTAGGTCATATTCAGTATAATCAATTCAATCGTTTTCATTTTTTATGTTTTAACATGTCTATTACCTTTATTAAATTTGTTTTTAAGCATATTTGTTTTTATTTTTTATATGGAATTAATAGAATGAATCAGATTGAAGATGAAGGTTTGTATTTATTAAGATAGTGTATTATGTTACAGATGTATAATGTTATGTTGTTAGTTCTTAAATATATGTTTATTTTTAGTTGCTGAATTACTAAGAAGTAAGTTTTCTTTCATTTTGTTATTAACAAATGTTATAAATTGCATTTATATGTTTGTTAATTTAAATTAATTTTACAATATTAAAATGGTTTAAACGAACTTAAACGAACTTTTATAAATGAATTTAATCCTCAAAGATTAAATTTTTTTTATTTAGATGATGACAATATTGAAGCAAGTAAGTTAAAAAGCATTTTTAAATTTTTAAAAAGAAATAAAAATACTTTTCAATATATATCTGTTTTCTTTGAGGTAGGTTTAAAGTTTCAGGTTTTTAAAATCATATATATTATAAGATTTAAGAATGAGTCGACTTAAATGTTTGTTTGTTTTTCTATTTAGACGTTGTTGATAATATTGGAACAAGTAAGTTATAAAGCATTTTTAAATTTTTAAAAAGAAATAAAAATACTTTTTAATATGTTTCTGTTTTCTTCGAGGTAGATTTAAAATTTCAGGTTTTTAAAACCATATATATTATAATATTAAATTTTTTTTTAATTTAAAAATATCCATATTACAGTTACACTGAGTCGTAGAAAAAAAAATTAAAAATTATTTATAAGGTAGTAGATTATTAGAGTAGATTAAATTGTTTGATCTATTAATCAACTTAATAACGTACTATTAAAGTAAAGATTTATTTTGGTTGTTTGTTAAAATTTAGTTATAGTTTATTTAAAATTTAAATTCTTTAGTTAATCAAGAGAGATCTAATAAAGGTATTAATTACATTAGTTGAATGTAGCATTTAATATGCATTTTATCGATATTTTAACGTCTAAACATTAAAGTGCTGTTATTGTTTAGATACAGAAGTGAAGACGGAAATAAGTCAGTGTTTTTGCTATTAGATATTTGTTATTAGGAATTTGTTTATTTGTACTGCCACAGGAATTTTAAAAAATCAAGTTCTTTAGCTTTTTTTTTATACTTTCTTTTAGGGGAGTTGGAACAAAAACTAAGTATAAATTATGATTAGTTTAGTTTAATAAATAAAACATTAATATTAATGGTTTAGTTTATAGTTTTGTTTTTAGCTTTAGTTATTTTTTTCTTACTTTAGACAACTTTATGGATGAAATGAGGGGGATGGGTAAAACAATTATTTAGATATGTATATATTTATATGTTAACATTATTTTATCGATTATTATATATTTATTTAAGTATATATTTGTCTTTAGTGTCAGGTGGAAGTATAGCTGGTAGGACTGTGTTTTATATTTTATATATTTTATTTGGAGAAATATATGCAATAGGTGAAAAAATTAATTAATAAATATGACACTTTTGAACTGGTTGCATTATTGCCCTATATATTTATTAAAATACAAAATGTTGCATGTTTAACCCTTATTAATTTGCTGTTTTTTTTTGTTTTTTTTTAGCATCTTCTGTTTCGAATGAAAATGGTGAGGTTATGCTAATTTTTTTTTTTTAATAATTGCAAATGTATAATTTTTATTATACTCTTCTATTTGTAACTTTAGATTCCTTATCATTCGAACAATACCAAAGTTATCGCTCCCAACACCCGGGACCTCTCTCAGAGAGGTCCTTCAATAAATGGAAACGTAATGGCGGTATGGATGAGCCCTCTTTTAAATGGAGGGCTCATCCATACCGGGGTTTTGGGAGACAACGAAGAAAAAACAGCAACCAAAAGGTTGTATATGTCTTCTATCAGTAGAGATATTTAAGACTTTTTAGTTGCTGCTTTTTCTTCGGTTTTTTTTTTTTTTCTTTAATTTTGTAATTTTTTGTTTCGGTGTTTTTTTTTTATTAAAAATTTAAAATTTTTTTTTTAAATATATTACGTTGTATATTTGATTTGTTTTAATCTTTTTTTAAAATTTTTAATTGTCTTCTCACCAATTAAACCTGACTTCAAATTTGAAGCCCTCTTAAATACCCCTCCCTAAATTCTAAAGTCGAAAGTTGAATTGATTCATTATCCAATTATCATAATATAATGATGCTGCATTCTTTTGTTAAAAACAATTATTTGGTACTGCTTTTAAAATTTACCAAAACCCAAGGCAATATATTTAGCTATATAAATACAATTTATTTATCTCGATTCTATTCTTTATCTTTTATGTTTATAGTTTGGCTCCTTAAAGCATTTTATGTTTTGCTCTTTTTATTATGAATATTTTAAATCCGTTGTGATGTCTTTTAAATTAAACTAAAGTTTACTAAAAGCCAACATAAAAATTGCATTTTTGAACAACACTAAAAAGAACAGCTGCATCCCTACAGCAACTGCTGCAGTATCACAATAGGTTACCAAAAGCAGGTATACTGTTTTCCAGTTGTTGTTTTTTTTTCATATATAATATGAAATATTCATAATACTATAGTACGATTGTTTATATCTCATTCATTTTTTTTTTTTTTGTTTATCTTTAAGTGTTAATAATTTTATTCTTTGAATGATTTTCGTGAAACAAGTCGGCTTTTCATTAAAGATATTGGTTTTAAAATTGAACATCATTGGCAAAATGCTTACAAAATTAGGTAGTTTTTAAAAATCTGTTTTCTATTTAATACACTTTTTTTTAAATATACTTTTTTAATATACTTTTCTATAACAATTCTACTATTATGGAATCACGTAGTTTTTTAAATATGTTTAATTGTCGTCCCTATCGGTAATAAATATTTTAAATTATTTGATATGGTTTTCTTTACAATAGGCTATGCTTGGCTCCTCGGTGCTGTAAATGGTGGCTTCAACTTTGTTTTTTTTAAGAAAAATGTGTTTTATATATGCTTCTGTTTTAAAATATTTTTGTTACATATTTAACTATATATCAAGGAAATAAATTTCTTTTAAAGATAAGTAAACTTGATACTTGCTTTTTTACGGATTTTCAAAAAGTGAACAAAGGTTTAAATATATTTTTTAACTGTCTTTTATGATTTTATCAATTTTATTAAAGCTGAATAATTACTTCAAAAATATTGAGTAAAATCCAATTGCTTTTATTATTAACCTGATCTATACAAAAATAAATGAAATAAAACTAATAATCTAACGCCAAGTTAAGGCAAAATGTATTTTATAAAATTAGTATAAATATGGATTGCATGTATGCTGAAATAAATATGTTGATACACGTTAGCTATTATAGTAAATCCATATATTCCTTTGTTTTTTTATAAACAAGTTACTGCTGGATTACTAATTAAAAAAAAGGTTGGTTTAAATAATAATCTTTATCATAATATATAGGATCCGTATGCAGGGTAAGCCCTTTTTTGAATTGCGATATATTTTTCAACTTAGAGTTTTTCCGAATATCCAACTTCTATGCCTACAAGTTTGGGTGTAATATTTTAGAGGTTTTAAAAAATATATTAATAACATTTAAAAGGTTCAGGTGCGATAGTGACATATTTTGAAGCTCTTCACTCAGTAAAATGAAAAGTTTAAAAAATAAAGAAACGACTCAGCTTAAAGCAAAATTAAGAGTAGAATATATTCCCAATATTTACCTAAACAATTTTACGGAATTTGAAAATTTGACATCGATTTTCTGTGCATATAAGTAAAGTCATTTTATGGTTAACTTTATCTTTAATGAAGCTGAGAGTTCTCTTAAACTAAGAAGCCAAGAAAAATAAAAGTGAGCTCAACTAAAAAAAATGTATAAATAAATTTATATTTCATTAGAGAAAGTAAATTAAGATCAAATTGACAGTAATAATTTATTTACTACTAACCCGTATAACGGGTTGCTTACTGTATAAATAAATTAATATTTTATTAGAGAAAGTTAATAAATATCAAATTGTTAATAATGATTTATATACTACTAACCCGTATTACGGGTTGCTTACAGCTAGTGTAAATTAAACGAAGACGATTATAATAATACCAATAATACTATTAAATATAGTAATGACAATAACAATGATTATATCAGTAATTATAATAACAAAAGCAATAATAGTAATAATAATAATAGTATTGAAGTTAACAACAATAGTAACAAAAATAATAATATTAACAAATATCACATTCATATATTAAACAATTCCAATAAGTAATAATGACGGTAATAAAAATGCAAATAAAATGTAAGTAATATTAACATCACATATAATAATAATACTAATAACAATAGTAATAATAATCTATTATAAGCTTAAATTGTGAAAAAGTGTTGAGGGATTGAAAATGAAAAGGTAAATTATTCCATGATTTTATGCATTGGTTTGTAATAGAATTATCACCGTATTTTACCGAACAGCGATTTGGTATAGATAATTTAAAGTTACTCAAAGATCGAAGGTAATAACGAGAACTTTTTTTAGTGGTAAAAAAATTGGAGAATAACGGAGGGAGGTTTACTTGTTTATGATTCCAGACAAATAGACAATTTAATAGATAAACAAGATCACATAATTTGAGTATTTTTGATAGAAAGTAAAGGATGTCAGAGTTAGAATGATACTGTTGAAAGAATATTAATTTTAAAGCTTTGTTTTGTAGGTTACATAACCTTAAAAAAGCATTAGACTTGCATTGTCCCCAAACCTGACAAGCGTATCTAAGATGAGATCCAAAAATTGCATGGTATATATTAAGTAGTGTTTCATAATTGACATAGTGGCGAATTTTGGCTACCATCCCATTTGATCTACACAATTTTACTGCTAAGTTTTTAAGATAAGAGGAAAAGGATAGATCTGAGTCAATTTGGATTCCAAGATATTTTAATGAAAGTAAGGGAAAAATTTTTTGTCCACTTAGTCTAAAGTTTAGGTTTTTACACATTTTAGATTAATTAGATTTGAAAATAATGAGTTCAGTTGTGTTGGTATTAAGACTTAGTTTGTTAGAGCGCAGCCATTGAAGAAGGTTAGATAAATCATGGTTAATATGTTTGTTAATTTTTTTTAATGATTTGTTAGTTATGAGTGAGTTGGTGTCGTCAGCAAAATGGTAAGCCGTTGAAAATTTTAGAGAGATATTAAGATCATTTATAAAAATAAGGAAAAGCAGTGGTCCTAATACAGAACCTTGGGGTGCATCCGTGGAGCATTTTATTGGAAAAGATTTGGCATCATTAATGGAGACAAATTGCGATCTATTAAAAAGATATGATGAAAACCATTGGAGAGTGTTACCTCGAACACCGTAGTGTTCCAATTTACTTAAGAGGATGGAGTGATCAACAGAATCAAAGGCTTTCTCTAAGTCAAGAAACACTCCACATGCAAAAAACTTATTGTCAAAAGCATTTCTAATAGTTACAGTTATTTTAATAAGTGCATGAGTCGTGGAGTGTTTGTTACGAAACCCATACTGATGTTTGTAAAGACATTGGTTTTTGTCAAGAAAGCTATAAAGTCTGTTGTACATGGCTTTTTCAAATATTTTACTAATGTTAGATAGAAGAGAAATCGGTCGATAGTTTCTGTGATCCATTAGAGAACCTTTTTTATGAATAGGAATAACTTTGGCTATCTTAAAAACATCTGGAAAAAGACCTTTATTAAAAGAATTATTTAATATGGTACAGAGAGGCTTGCAAATAACATGAGAAGTAAGTTTAAGAAGGAGTGTGGGGATACTATTTGGTCCAAAACTTTTACCATTTTGTAAACTATTTTTTATTAAATTAGACACCTCATTTTCAGTCAATGGATTAAGAAAGGAAGAATTCGAATTAGCATTTTTTAAATAGTCAGAGAAGATACTTTTAGAAGAAATCATTTTACTTTTGGGTGGGTGTTGTATTGTTTCATAGTATTTGTTAAAAATGTTAGCAACAGCCATACTGTCAGAGATAGTGTAACCGTTAGACTTAAGAGTGTAAGATTTAATTGGTGTAGAGGGTTTGATATTATTAATTTCTTTTATTCCTTTCCATTTATTTTTTATATTGTTGAAGTTTTTGTTAAAGAAGGAGATGTAGCATGACTTTTTGGAAATTCTTAATAAATTGCTAATTTTATTCCTGTACAATATAATATATATATATATATATATATATATATATATATATATATATATATATATATATATATATATATATATATATATATATATATATATATATGTATATATATATATATATATATATATATATATTTATATATATATATATATATATATATATATATATATATATATATATATATATATATATATATATATATATATATATATTTATATATATATATATATATATATATTTATATAATTTTCAAATAAATAACGATTAAAAAAAAAAATTTTTAACAACATCTTTTATTAACATTAATTGATATCCTCAGGTAAAAAAAAAATTACAATTTCTATATATAAACAAATTATTTGGCTGCATTAAAAATTTAATATTTTTATAATTGTTACCATAATTACATTTTATAAGATAAGTAATTACTATAAGAAACTCTGACAATAATAGAAAAAGAGTCAGTTGAGTTTTTGCATTATTGCGTTAAAGTAAGATGTTTGTAAATATCATAAAATTTTGAAGTATTAAATTTATAATTTACAGAGTTAATAATTATACCAATAAAGTTCCATTTGCGATCAACCTTTTTCTCTTTAGTAAGATTGGGGTAACTTAATAAACTTAAGAACAGTCACAGTAAAGGGATGAGACTTCATTGACGCACAAATTCA